CGGCCCCGCACAGCAGGCTGTGCACTGTGCTGCGCGGGATGCGTGCGCCCGACGCCCCGCACGCTGGGCTTTGCTGCCGGCCGGGCCGTGCATGTGGCGCGCGCCAGGCTGTGCATGGCTGTGTGCGCCTGCCCGGCTGGGCGCCGGTGCCTGGGCAGGCCGGGCGTGAGAAGGGAAGTTGCAAAGCGGGTTGTGTGGGCAGAAGTGGGGTGTGTGTGTGTGTGAGATCGACACGCGTGCGGGGGCGGTGTGCACAGCAGAGAGCATCACAACTCTGCGTGCGTGTGAAGGACAGGGGGCTGGGGAAGTGTTTCAGCAGAACCAACGTGTGAGTCTGCACGTGCACCGGCTGTGCACTCTGTGTGTGTGTGTGTGCAAGTGTGTATGTGCATGCATGTGTGTGCAGCCCAGCCCTGGTGCACTCTGCACAGGTGTGCACGTGTGTGTGCATGTGCACAAGTACATGCTTGTTCAGGAGATGCAAGGCTCCAGGACTGTATGCGTGCGTCCAGGCGCTGCAGTTTGCATGTCTGGCCAGGGACACGTGTGTTGGGACAGTGTGTTTGGGTGTATGAGCAAGAGGGGCATGCACACGCATGCACGGCTGAGTGACATTGCACATGCACATGCACATGTGTTTTTGTGTGCAAGAGGTGAGTGTGCTTATGTGGATGTGCCCGGAAGGAGGCAGGGTGTGTGCACGTGTGCAGAAGGTGTGAGCGTGGGTGTGCTTACACGCGTGCAGGTGTGCTCAGGTGGTGCTTGTGTGGGAGCACAGGTGTGAGCACACGCATGTGCGTGCCCCCAGCTGCACCTGTGTGTGTACACATGTGCGTGCCTGGGAGGATGCGTACCAGAGAGGTGTGTCTGTGTGTGCGCAGGAGAGGTGCGTACCCGGAAGGATGCATACCGGAGAGGTGCGTCTGTGTGTGCACAGGAGAGGTGTGTACCCAGAAGATGTGTACCAGAGAGGTGTGCCAGCATGCGCGCCTGTGCGGGCGCGCGGACGGTGCAGCCGTGCCCGTGCACGGCGAGGACAGAAAGGGGAACTGCAGGAGCAGGAAAGTCTGGGGGCCAGACAGGCTGCGGCAGCGCAGACCGGCGCCCCGCGCCCCGTCTCCCTCGCCCCACCGGCGCTGGGCCCCGCTCGCACGTACCGCGCCAAGCTCAGGCTTGCACATGCCGCACTGAGCTCGCACACACCAGGACACCCTTGCACATGCTGTGACACCCTCGCATGAGGAGCCCTGCTTGCACAATGCCAGCGTGTGCTCTGCCACACTCGTGTGTGCCTTGCTGCCCTGGTGCATACTGTCCCCGCGCGCTGGGCTCTGCTTGCATGTGCCAGGCCATGCTTGCACGCGCTGCGCCACACTTGCACACGCTGCAGCCTGCTTGCATGCGCCAGGCCCTGCCTGCACAGGCTGCGCTTGCAGGGGTGGCATGCTGCCTGCACACCCTGTGCCACACTTGCACGTGCCAGGCCCTGCTTGTGCACACTGTGCACTGTCTGCTTGGGCCAGCCCCGCTTGCCCATGCCACACGCCTTCTGCGCTGGGCCGCACTTGTGCAGGCCAGCCCTGCTTGCATGCACCAGGGCACGCTTGCAGGCCAGGTCACCTTACACACACCAGGGCCACAGTTGCAGGCCAGCTCTTCTTGCATACCCCAGGGCACGCGTGCATGCACTAGGGCACGCGTGCATGCACCAGAGCACGCTTACAGGCCAGGCCAGCTTACACGCACCAGGGCACTCTTGCACACACCAGGGCACGCTTGCAAGCCAGCCCTGCCTGGGCACGCCAGGACACTTGCACACGCCAGCTGCGCTTGCACAGGCCGGGGCACACTTGCCCACCAGCCCTGCTTGCCCCCCAGCCCTGCTTGCACATGCCAGGGCACTCTTGTGCGCACCGGGGCACGCTTGCCCACCAGCCCTGCCTGCACACACCAGGGCACTCTTGCAGGCCAGCCCTGCTTGCACACGCCAGGGCACTCTTGCACACACCAGGGCACTCTTGCACACACCAGGGCACTCTTGCAGGCCAGCCCTGCCTGCACACGCCAGGGCACTCTTGCACACGCCAGGGCACTCTTGCCCACCAGCCCTGCCTGCACACGCCAGGGCACTCTTGCACACGCAGCTGCACTTGCACAGGCCGGGGCGCGCCTGCCCCCCCGCC